GGACCTAGCCCTGCGGAACTCCACTGCCCACATCTCTCCAGGTCGAAAATGACCCATCCACCACCACTCTCTGGGTGTGGCCCTACAGCCAATTTGTGACCCATCTGACTGTGTAGGCGTCGACACCACAGATGTCTAATTTTTTTAATGAGGTTGCGGTGAGAGACAGCGTTGAAGGCTTTTCTAAAGTCCAGAAAGACTATGTCCACTGCTACCCCTGCATCTAAGGATTTTGTGACCTTGTCATAGAAGGCCACCAGGTTGGTCCGATAGGACCTGCCTCTAATGAGCCCATGTTGGTTGCCCCTAAGTATAATCTCCCCTGCTGGCCCCTCATGGACATGTGCCAGGATAATTCTCTCAAAAAGCTTACCCAGGATCAAGGTAAGACTGGCCTATAGTTTCCTGGGTCCTCCTCCCTTTTTTGAAGATGGGAACCACGTTGGCCCTCTTCCAGTCCTCTGACAGTGCAATCCTGTTAGTGGTTTGGAAAATGTCTCCTTAATGAACAGGGACCTGATCTGAAATCTGATTAAGTCAATGAGCGTCCTTGTTTTGTCTTCACTGAGGTTTGGATTGGGCTTTATTTTATATTATAACAACAACATACCAATGGAACATATTCACAGATGTTGTAACATCATACATTTGTTAATTATAATGGTGGTCAAATAAAAAATGTCCTTTCCTATTTTTCTGAATATACCCAATGATTTCACATTACATATGTTCAAGAACATGCCAAGTCAAAGAATTCTGTATTTGAAACGTGATTCTTAATACTCAATTTCTCATAAAATGTATTCATAAGATTTTATGGTAAACCATAGGGCTGTGTGAAACAGACTGTATTTGATTCAGATTCAGCCCCAATCAGGGGACAGTGATTTGATTCAGTGATTTGGATCACTTTCCTGATTTGATTCAGCTGAATGCGAATCTGAAGATTCAGTGCTGACTCAGAGAATAAGCGATTCAGCCATAGACACAGCTTTAAATGTTTTTTTCTACATACCTCGAGGTACCAGGCATGGCTTTTGAATGCGGAGATGGGGGGGTGGATGGAGCATCCCACAGGAGCATGGGGAGGCCCCCTGTGTGCTCGACAGTGGACCTGGAAGTGAACCAGAAGTGTTTCCAGTTGGGTCTACTGTCAAGTGTGCAGGGGACAACCCCTGCACTCCCCCAGCTTGGTGATCGGCTGCAGGGGGACCCCAGGTGCCCCACCCCCAGACCTAGGAGGCACCAGCTGAGGGTTGCAGGGAGTGTCCCCCGTGTGCTCTGCAATGGACCCGGAAGTGGACAAGAAGTGCTTCTGGTCCACTTCCTGGTCCACCACCGAGCACACTGGGAACTCCTCTGCACTCCCATGGGATGTTCCATCTTCCCAAGCATCTGAGCATTCACAAGCTGCCTGATACCTTGAGGTATGTAGAAAAAACATTTAAAGCTGTGTCTATGTCCGAATCATTGAATCTCTCTGAATCAATTCAGAAGGTTCTGATTCAATTTGGAGAGATTAAAGGGTCTTCTGATTCGATTCAGATTCAGAGATTCAGCCACTGAATCAGGCTGAATCTCCACCAAATGGAATCAGCAACTGAAGCTTCGCACAGCCATAGTAAACTGTAATACAACTGTGATTAGGACAGATTCTGTTTTACTGATACATCACTGATGCTATGTTGATTGAACAGTTATTCAGCAAAATAATTATTACTAGTACCTCAAATCTACATTTTTGAATTGTTGTTAATATTTTTATGTTATGGTAAAGGGATGTATTATTTAGTTTGATCAGTTCTGCTTCCTTTATGCAACATGTAATCCACAAGTATTTTTCTCTCTAAGGTACATGCCCTTTCGTAAAGTACAAATGGCATTTGTGACTAACATATATAGTTGTTTAGTATAATAGTCATGTTCCCTTCTTGAAAAACCAAGATAGGCAGCACACAAGTGATAGTCTTGTAAAGCCCAATGAGAGTAAAATCTGTATCTGTTATGTCATCTTTACAGAAACAATTTGTTCCCTTCAACCAAAACCTCTAACAAGTTCACCTGTCACCAGGAAAGCAGTAATTGTAATCTGAAGTCAGACACAGCTGAATGTTTTTCCTATTTCCAGCAGTGTTGCTTTATTGTTTATGGATAGAGCATGAATAACACTTGATAATTATCTCCAGTAAAGGGCTTCGTGTATATAAGCATTGTTATTAAGCTGTTCTCAGGTTTTTAAAGACTGTACAGCTCATGTTTGAAATTTTTAATTCCCCAGTTTACTTTGAATTATAACTCTGAATTGGGAATCAGGAAATAATGTCAGAATGGAAAAAAGACAGTAAGGCTAAATACAGATAGTCAAAAAACCCCAAGGCTGAATTGATTCAGTCTTTGCAGGTTAGTCTAAGCTGAAGAGATTTAATTGAAATAGAAGTGAACAGGCATTTACCTTTGATTCAGGAAATGCAGCCACATACCTGCAGTGGCTCAAGCCAGAAGCTAGGGGGCACATAGCAGTGATTCCCAAACTTTTTAGACCATGAACCAGCAAACCACAGACCAGAAGTGACTGCAGACCAGCAAACTGCAAACCAGCATACTGCAGACCAGAAGTGACTGGCATACTGTGGACCTTTTATACTCAGTATAAAAAAGGTTGGCTGCAGTATGCCAATCACTTCCAGACTTGTGGTCTGGCAGCCAACCCTCCGGCAGACCGTCAGCAAACCCTTTGCAGCCTGGTACAAGGCCATGGCCCAGGGGTTGGGAACCTCTGCACTAGTGCACAGCTCTCTGGCATGTAGCCAATATGGGCTGTGTGTTTGCTTCCCCTTCCTGCTGCTCCCAAAGTCTCTGGGATCTGCAATCCAAAATCACAGGAATCTGCTGGGTTGCTCATCACTTCCTTTTACTGCTTCCAGGTGCTTCTGGGATTTGTAGTCCACAGTTGCAGCCAGCAGTAAGTTTTAGGGGGGGAAGGGGTGTTTAACCCCCCTCCCTGGCCCCAGACCCTAGCCAGGGTTTGCCTGCAGGGGCAGCCCCCCCCCCCGCCTTGCAGAGTGAGCTGTATCCCCAGCCAGGCTTGCCCTTCCCTGCCACCCTCTTGTCAGCCAGCCCTCACTGCTCAAGCTAGGGAGCAGAGAGATGGGGCCAGCCCTGCTTTCTGGAGCAGACAGCCCAGTCCAGCCCAGCCCAGGGCTGCAAAATGCTGGGATGCTGGGGGACTCTGATTTAACTTGAACCAGGAAGTAAGTGAAGTAATGTAAATAATGAAAGAAGTCTTCATCTCCTTTCAGAGTGCATCTGCTGTATATTATGGAAAGAAACAGAAAATCATTGCTTAAAAGCAATAGTATAGTTTGGAGTTTAAATTATAGAGCTGGACTTTGCCACCCATTCTTAAGTGCTTTTGGGGGTTTTTTGCTACACAAGTGACGCCAACAATGCCAATGGGATTTTTTGTGAAGTAGTAAGCTTCAGAAGGTCCCCATATGTAATTTATTAGATTAACAAGTTGAACATAATGAAAATCCTACCTGCCGCCTTGTTAGAAAAT